GATGTGTCATTAGTAACCCTTTGAAATAATCAATAATTTTTTTTTTTTTTTTTTTAGGAAAAGTGTGTGAAAAAATGTGTTTTATGGTCGGTCACAATTGTGTCCGGTGGATAATGTGTATACTGAATATTTCTGCAGTCATAAAAATGTTTATATATCTTAACCCAGCTATTTTAAAGGGGTCATATGATGCGATTTCGAGTTTTCCTTTCTCTTTGGAGTGTTACAAGCTGTTTGTGCATAGATAAGATCCCTGAAGTTGCAAAGACTAAAGTCTCAAAACCAAAGAGATATTCTTTATCAAAGTTAAGACTCTGCCACGCCCCCCTAAAACGGCTCGTTCTAACACGCCCCCACATATCTACCTCACTATGTGGAAATATTTGTGTAATTTGCCGCCCAAATGTTCACGCAAAGAAAGAAGGCGTGGTTTCAGTAACCGCAGTTAGTGTTGAAGCAGCATGTCAGGGAGACGCTGTGTGTTTCTAGGCGAAAGCAAAAGCACTTTATTTGGCCTTCCGAAAGTAGATGCATTTAGGAATCTTTAAGATTACTTACAACAGAACAGCAATGCATTTTATGGATGACCGTTTCGTGAACCTAGGAGAGGGCTTTGCTATGACAATCTGGCGCTTCTGAATCAGCTACTGTTTTGTTATTAGTTTAAGTATTTGCTATTGACTGTTCAAATGCGGAGTTTTGCGCATCGTGTGTGTGTGTGTGTGTGTGTGTGAGAGAGAGAGAGAGAGACACAGTGTCACATCACAGTGGAGTCAGCTGTCTTAACCGCGGCTTGTGTACTGCATCATTACTGTGTCTGTCACGCGACTCTGTTCCCCAGAGTAAAGACATTGCTCTGTCTTTACATTTATTTTGAAAGATGAAGCTCGCGATTATGTTAAGTGGCGTTACATTTCCGACGAGTGCTTGGGTCAGCTGGCCAATCAGAGCAGACTGTGCTTGTCGGAAGGAGGGACTTTGTAGAAAACGAAGCGTTTGAGAGAGGCGGGGCATATAGGACCTACAATAATGTACAGTATTTGAAAAATAATGTGTTTTTTGAACATTAAAGCATGTCAACATATTCTGTTACACCAAATACACAAAATAATGATCTTTAAAAAAGCATCATATGACCCCTTTAAAATTTATATATATATATATATATACACACACACACACACACAGTAGTGGTCAAAATTTTACGTACACTTTGCAGTATCTGAGAAATGTTAATTTTACCAAAATAAGAGGGATCATACAAAATGCATGTTATTTTTTATTTAGTACTGACCTGAATAAGATATTTCACATAAAAGATGTTTACATATAGACCACAAGACAAAATAATAGTTTAAAAATGACCCCGTTCAAAAGTTGTGACAAAAAACGCTGTGGATCATCCGGGTAACAAAACAGGATTAAGAATCAAGCATATGAAAACTTTTGAACAAGGTAATTTTTATAAATTCAACTTATTTTCCCTTGTGAACTATATGTAAACTATATGTTGATATGTATGTTTTTTTTTATGTGAAATATCTTATTCAGGTCAGTACTAAATAAAAAATAACATGCATTTTGTATGATCCCTCTTATTTTGGTAAAATAATTAACATTTTGCAGATTTTGGACTCACGGCCTAAATGTTTTTATTTGTCAGCAAGTTATTTTTCAATCTGCATTCTGACATATATGACGAGCCAATCTTTGTGTTTGTGTTCAGAATCGTATGGAGGAGAGCAAGGCTCTATTCAGGACGATAATCACATATCCATGGTTCCAAAACTCTTCTGTCATCCTCTTCCTAAACAAGAAGGACCTGCTGGAGGAGAAGATCTCCTACTCCCACCTGGTCGACTATTTCCCAGAGTTCGATGGTATGTTGGATTCCTGTCGTACAGTGTTTTTCATGTAGACTGGTTTTATGCAAACAGTCCCAATGTAATGCAGGGCTCGCAAAATCGCTAGCCCGACGTCCCGGGGCTATTGTGTTTTCCAGCCCAACGGGCTATCTTGAACAGTGATATAAAATTCTTTCCTTGATTTGCGTTGTTCACTAGCTTGTAGGGGTAAAACGGATCGGAGTTTCGTTTGCACGTGTTTCTAAGTCTTGCCGATTTAAACATTCAAGTGTTTTAAACCATTCACGCGCCTTCGGAGCTGCGCGCACTCATTCAAAGCGCGCACAGA